GTTTTTGGTTATTGTTGAAAAGAAACATTTTATAGCTTTACCTGTATATATGTTATATTAAAATTTTGTCTTTGGCAATTCATAATTTTACTAAGACAAAATTTTAATATGACATATATATATATGTGAGTGAGCATTTTAATACAGCATATTTTTTGTAGTCTGTAAATTGTCGGACTCAAGCCTGGAAAAAGGAAGAGGGCAGTCAATCGTATAGTTGATATATAATATATAAGTAAATATAAATAAGTTGATAAAATTGGCGCAATTAGATAATTTTTTAATTGGCGCAAATTATACCAATTGTTTTTAATATGAAGTGACGCAGAAGTAGTATTGGCACAAATAAGTTGTGGCGCAAATGAGTTCATTTTTGGCGCAAAAAGATCTCGCCCAAGTACTTATAGATAGAAAACTTTCAAAACTGAAAGTTGTCGAGCTGTTAATGGGGCACTAGCTGTCTTACATGTCAAATTCATGTTCACCGATTTGACTCAAATTCTCATATTAGATTTATAACAGATGTAAAACATTTATTCAAATTATAAAAAGTCTAAAATAAACAATTTACCAGGCATACATGGGCTCGATAATATGCAGCTTCGTTTCGTGTGTATTTTAGTCTAGACACCATCTAACTAACTATCGAAAAGTAAACAACCGACTGTCACATTACACAATCTAAACATAAACATGATAAATATAAATAGATATATGGACCTTGTGCAAATGTGTTAGTAAATGGCTCTGTACTGTGCCAGATCGCTCCTGCTAGGCCATCGAAACCGGAAAGTATGTCAGGCTGCCAATTCCAGTTCATACCAGACTTTGTGTGCTTTGTATGAACAATTGTGTTGAATCTGAAAAACACTTTCTTTTAAATTGTTCTCTTTATGATGACTGGAGATGGCTTTTATTTTCTGAATGTTCAAATTATATTGAAAATTTTGCTATTTTAGACGATGATCAGAAATTTGTTAAAATGACGAACAAATGATCATGATGATGAAATAAGTTAAAAAAAAATTGTCATGAAATTCAATCAATTTATAAGCAAAAGTATTTAATTTTTTTTTTTATGATACGACAGTTATTTTTAGTTTGAGATACCAATTGTTATTGTTCTTTTAACATGTTTAACTTACTTTTAAAGTCATGTGATATATTTAAATGAAATAAATAATTATAATTTTTATGTATTTAATTTATAATATTATTTTAATTTATTAATTGAATTTAAATAATAAATCTTTTTGAAAATGTACAAAAACAAATGGTGTGAAAATGTTTTGTAAATATGTGTCTCATAAGCCAACTTGATGGCTGGGTATTGATTGTTTTATTTTAATGTATATTTTTATTATGTCATTGTATAATGTACTATCAGTATGTGACACAATTATAAATTAAATTTATTATTATTATTATTATATATTATTATATATGGACTTCATGCAAATGGATTTTTCTATGTCTGTTTGATTTCAAATTTAAGGTTAAATTTTTTTTTATCTGAATAAGAATGATTTTTTGTGGATCGATTCAGTCAATCAAATGATTTACCTTTGTTTCACTTTCAATGTTGACATTCTCTTCTTTTTATAACCTAAAATGCATCAATCATGCATAATCTATCTCTAGCTAAGGCGTTAAATTGAAGATCACATGAATACGGATTCAATGAGGTTGAATTATTCACTTGCAAGTGAATAATTCATCATCGATGTTTCTTAGCTTATTTTAACAAAATTGAACCAAACTGGCTGCTATTTTTAGATCCTGTCCCTAGTTCCTGGTCCAGCAACTTCATATTAATAAGCAATGTTGCTGTACATCAGATTGTCTCTTCTGAATTTTTTTCTGCAGACAGACGAGACATATGTCTGTGTCAACAGTTTATTTATTATAAATAAATTAAGAAGATATGGTATGAATGTTAATGAGACAATTGTCCATCCAAATCACAATGTATGAAAAGTTAACAATTATGTAGGTAAAAGTGGCCGCCTTTAAAATAATGTTAACATTTACCAACATTCTTTTCCTTATGAATAAAGAAAACGTGAGGTATACATCAATGATGCAGTACAGCTTATATAATTCTTCTTCATGTTGTACAAAGTATGGAATTAAATAACCCAAACAAGCAGATGCTTAAATGCAGAGAATGTCAAAATAGATATTTTATGTGTAATTTGCGGGAAAGTATCAAAAGGAATATGTCTTTACAGAGTTGTACACGATCATACATTCACATTAAAAAGAATGTATGAGGTAGAAGATTTTGTCACAATCAATGGCACACAACAGAGACACATAAGAACACAGACTGGTACACTTCATAAATGTGGTGTTTGTGGTAGAGAATTTAGTAGATGTAATGACTTGAAGAGACATGTGAGAACACATACTGGCGAAAAACCTCATGACTGTGATGTTTGTGGTAAAGGGTTTAGTCAGTCTGGTAGTTTACAAAGTCATATGAGAATACATACAGGTGAAAAACCTCATGACTGTGAAGTATGTGGTAAGCGGTTTAGTCGGCTCTTTATATTACAAATGCACATGAGAACACATATAGGAGATAAACCTTATGAATGTGATACATGTGGTAAAAGGTTTAGTCAGCATTGTCATTTAAATACACACATGAGAATACATACAGGAGATGAACCTCATAACTGTGATGTATGTGATAAAGTGTTTAGTCGGCTTGGACATCTACAAAGACACATGAAAACATATACAGGAGATAAACCTTATGAGATGTCTGTGATCAAAATTTAATTCGTCTTAGTAATTTACAAATTCACATGAGAACACATACAGTTGAAAACTGCATGACTGTAATGTTTGTGGAAACAAGTTTGGTCACCATAGTAATTTACAACGTCACATGAGAACACATACATGTGATTTACCTTATAACTGTGATTTATGTGGAAAAAGATTTAGTCAGTATGTGATAAACATGATAAAACTCATGACGGTGATGGACAATATATGTGGTTAAGGCTTGGTGAAGAACAGAGACGCATGAGAACACATATTTCACATGAACATGATGATGATGATATTTTTTAATGGTATTGTCGGCTTACATTCTGTATATGTGACTGTCCCAATTGAGGAGCCACAATAATTATATACATGTAGTTGTCATTTATTGTTGTATATTATATCTGTTTTTAGTTGACTGTTTGGTAATAATCAGTATAATCTAAAATCAGTGCGTTAGTTTTCTCTTTTGAATTGTTTTACACAAATGTTTTACATTTTTATACGACCGTAAAATTTTGCGGTCGTATGCTGGTATTGGTATCACGTTGTCGTCGTTGTCGTCGTTGTCGTCGTCGTCGAAGTCCGAAGACACTTGGTCCGGACAATAACTTTAGTATAAGTGAATAGAAATCTATGAAATTTTAACACAAGGTTTATAACCACAAAAGGAAGGTTTGGATCGATTTTGGGGGTTGTTGTCCTAACAGATTAGGAATTAGGGGCCAAAATGGAGCCTAAATAAGCATTTTTCTAGTTTCCAGACTATATCTTGTGGAACGGTGTATGGATCTCTCTGAAATTATACCACAAGATTTCATCTTGGGGGGGGGGGGGGGGGGGGGGGGGGGGGGGCGGGGGGGGCGGTCGGCGGGGGGTTATGGCTCAAACCGTTTAGGAATAAGGGTCAAAAAGGGGAAAAAACAAGGGTGTCCTGCAGGGCTTCCAAAATTATTTTTAGCCAGCCGGACATTTTAATATATCATCCCGATTTTAATCCCTTTTTAAGACTAATTCAATGGAATAATTACAAATTATTTTTGACATTTTCATCAAATCAAATATTAAACACACAAGACAGCACATTACATGACCCTGTATCGATTCCATCGAGGTTCAATAAAGGAGCCACAATCAATACCTCAGTCACTGGCTGACTAGAAGTTCGAATTAAAAAACAATTCGTTTTATTGTCCGCAAATGATGAAGTTTTTTGTTGTTTTTTGTTTCACTTAGTCGCAAAATGTGAGCCGTAGGCATTACAATCTAGCGGCGGTGTAATCTATTTGTATAAAGCTTTATATTTCAGATAGCAGAAGGTCTGAAGGGTTCATAGATATAAGAAGATGTGATATGAGTGCCAATGAGACAACTCTCCATCCAAGTCACAATTTGTAAAAGTAACCCATTATAGGTCAAAGTACGGCCTTCAATTTGGATCCTTGGCTCACACATAACAACATTTAAGCTAGAAAGGGCCCCATGCATAAAGATTAGTGTTAAACCATTCAAACAAAAAAACCAATGGTCTTATATATGTATAAAAAAAAAGAGAAACAATTATGAACCACATTAACAAACAACAGCCACAATGGCACTGAACATCAGGTTCCTGACTTTAAAGATGTCTTATCTATCGAAGTTTTCATCTTTCATTTGTCCATGACCTCATTTTCATGGTTCGGCTATGTCTTGAAAAAATGAATAGTATTTTTGTCATGTGAATTATTCACTTATTGTGAGTAAATATAACTGAATTTGACAGGTAGAACTCACAGAGAGACATGTGGACACATGCTGGTTTAAATGTCTTAGATTAACAAAAGAAGCCATTACCCGAGCTATCAAGTTATTTTTTAATCCACATAATTTAATGCTTGCTGGGCTATAGGCAGTAGAATTTTATGCATAATGCCATTTTCTGTCTACTTATAAAAAATCTTACCCTATATTACATAAATCCTTGATAAAACAGGGCCGTAACTAGCCTCTGTTTAAAGTGAGGCAAAATTATTCGCCGAGCGGAGCGAGGCTAAAAAATTTCCGGCGAGGGGTCTGTGGCCGCTCAAGGCCCCCAGAAGCTCTGGAAAAAATTACGCAAAATCGTGCATTTTGAGCGTTTCCCGGACCCTTTCTTAATCTGAAACGCAAGTTTTGTTTGAATTATTTTTTTGACAATATTCTGGTCTCAAAGCAACATATATAGATTCAGTGTAAGTATTCTGGATCACGTTATCAATTGTATTTGCTACGGCATCTATTGGATTGAATTTTCAGACATTCATATTTTCCGGAAATGATCTGGACTTATCCGTATGTTCACTACCGTTTACTTTCTCTTCCTCGCCTGTCTATTACAAATGGATGCCACGACAAAACTGCTCCTGTGGATATTGTGACAAATCACCGTCAAGTACGTTTCAAATCGATTATAAACTGTTAAATATAAATTCCGTTAAATTGACAAACACGTTGATTCAACAAATATGAACTGTAATTGTTTATTTCTATGAATTGAACTGAGAATTCTACTTTCGTTTTTGACTTGATATTAATATTGTCTTGAACGTTCAAATATTTCTTTCGTGCATATTGTAAAATATTGTATTTTTATTTCTTTCAGTTTACCAAACAATACACACTCTGTAAAAACTCCTGTATCCCTTCTGGTGGAATTATAATCTACAATCTTCACACACAAGTTGTTATTCTTTATAATTTGCCGAGATTGCGATACAATCACATGGTTATACTAGCTGAGTCAGGCTCAGCATAGTAAATTGACGACTACCTGTCTTTACATATCCAGACAAGGAACTCACAGAGAGACATGTGGACACATGCTGGTTTAAATGTCTTAGATTAACAAAAGAAGCCATTACCCGAGCTATCAAGTTATTTTTTAATCCACATAATTTAATGCTTGCTGGGCTATAGGCAGTAGAATTTTATGCATAATGCCATTTTCTGTCTACTTATAAAAAATCTTACCCTATATTACATAAATCCTTGATAAAACAGGGCCGTAACTAGCCTCTGTTTAAAGTGAGGCAAAATTATTCGCCGAGCGGAGCGAGGCTAAAAAATTTCCGGCGAGGGGTCTGTGGCCGCTCAAGGCCCCCAGAAGCTCTGGAAAAAATTACGCAAAATCGTGCATTTTGAGCGTTTCCCGGACCCTTTCTTAATCTGAAACGCAAGTTTTGTTTGAATTATTTTTTTGACAATATTCTGGTCTCAAAGCAACATATATAGATTCAGTGTAAGTATTCTGGATCACGTTATCAATTGTATTTGCTACGGCATCTATTGGATTGAATTTTCAGACATTCATATTTTCCGGAAATGATCTGGACTTATCCGTATGTTCACTACCGTTTACTTTCTCTTCCTCGCCTGTCTATTACAAATGGATGCCACGACAAAACTGCTCCTGTGGATATTGTGACAAATCACCGTCAAGTACGTTTCAAATCGATTATAAACTGTTAAATATAAATTCCGTTAAATTGACAAACACGTTGATTCAACAAATATGAACTGTAATTGTTTATTTCTATGAATTGAACTGAGAATTCTACTTTCGTTTTTGACTTGATATTAATATTGTCTTGAACGTTCAAATATTTCTTTCGTGCATATTGTAAAATATTGTATTTTTATTTCTTTCAGTTTACCAAACAATACACACTCTGTAAAAACTCCTGTATCCCTTCTGGTGGAATTATAATCTACAATCTTCACACACAAGTTGTTATTCTTTATAATTTGCCGAGATTGCGATACAATCACATGGTTATACTAGCTGAGTCAGGCTCAGCATAGTAAATTGACGACTACCTGTCTTTACATATCCAGACAAGGAACTCACAGAGAGACATGTGGACACATGCTGGTTTAAATGTCTTAGATTAACAAAAGAAGCCATTACCCGAGCTATCAAGTTATTTTTTAATCCACATAATTTAATGCTTGCTGGGCTATAGGCAGTAGAATTTTATGCATAATGCCATTTTCTGTCTACTTATAAAAAATCTTACCCTATATTACATAAATCCTTGATAAAACAGGGCCGTAACTAGCCTCTGTTAAAAGTGAGGCAAAATTATTCGCCGAGCGGAGCGAGGCTAAAAAATTTCCGGCGAGGGGTCTGTGGCCGCTCAAGGCCCCCAGAAGCTCTGGAAAAATTACGCAAAATCGTGCATTTTGAGCGTTTCCCGGACCCTTTCTTAATCTGAAACGCAAGTTTTGTTTGAATTATTTTTTTGACAATATTCTGGTCTCAAAGCAACATATATAGATTCAGTGTAAGTATTCTGGATCACGTTATCAATTGTATTTGCTACGGCATCTATTGGATTGAATTTTCAGACATTCATATTTTCCGAAAATGATCTGGACTTATCCGTATGTTCACTACCGTTTACTTTCTCTTCCTCGCCTGTCTATTACAAATGGATGCCACGACAAAACTGCTCCTGTGGATATTGTGACAAATCACCGTCAAGTACGTTTCAAATCGATTATAAACTGTTAAATATAAATTCCGTTAAATTGACAAACACGTTGATTCAACAAATATGAACTGTAATTGTTTATTTCTATGAATTGAACTGAGAATTCTACTTTCGTTTTTGACTTGATATTAATATTGTCTTGAACGTTCAAATCGTATATTTCTTTCGTGCATATTGTAAAATATTGTATTTTTATTTCTTTCAGTTTACCAAACAATACACACTCTGTAAAAACTCCTGTATCCCTTCTGGTGGAATTATAATCTACAATCTTCACACACAAGTTGTTATTCTTTATAATTTGCCGAGATTGCGATACAATCACATGGTTATACTAGCTGAGTCAGGCTCAGCATAGTAAATTGACGACTACCTGTCTTTACATATCCAGACAAGGAACGACTACGTAGCAACGTAAATACCTTTACACTGACAGTGGACTACATAACTTGTGTGTACTAGGCAGCAACCCAACAACGTTGAGTCACCATGGATCCCAGTCACGTGGAACAGCAAGAAGAGGTTCAGCCCCAAGAGGGAGATGTCCCTGAACTATTAGAAAATCCGTCTAAAACAACACATTCAGATGAAAATCCCGAGACTAGGCGAGTACGTGACCTCACGGAAAAAGGAAAAGGAGCTTTCACAGAAAAACGTGACAAGTTCTGTCAGGAACAAGAGGCTCTCTGGACAGACATTGAATCCCAGTTATTGGAAGTTACCACGCCTCCTAACGAGCTCCAGCAACTCCTAACAGCCCAGGACAAACTCGTTAAAGCCTGTAATAATTATCGTAGGCTCACAGATGAATTCCTGGACTTTCTGAAAAGGACCAGAACATCGGAGAGTCAAAAAGAAATAGAAGCATGTAATCTCTCATTGGATTTTCGTCTGTCCAAAGTGGAACTGGTTATGGAAAAACTACACGAGCATCGCCTCGCCCTAACAAAGGCCAAATCCACTAAAACAAAGACCTCAAAGGGTAAGAAAACCTCACACAGCGGTAGCTCTAACGTGTCAGACATGTCAAGCCTAGCACGGAGAAAGCGTGCGAAGGCAGAGGCTGCCAAGTCAAAAATAGCCTTTGTCGAAAAACATGCCCTTATCCTACAACAGGAGGCAATGTTAGAGGAACAAGCCCTGTTCAGACAAATTGAAATGGAACAGGAAGCAGCACGCAAAAAGGCTGAAATGGAACAGGAAGCCACACGTAAAAAGGCAGAAATGGAGCAAGAAGTCGCTCAACGTAAAGTTCAACTAGAACAGGAGGCCGCACAGAGAACAGTTCACTTAGAACAAGAGGCCATGCGCAGGAAGGCTCAAATGCAACAAGAAGCCGCACGAGTAAGCCGGGAAAAGACCGAGCTGAAAGCCAAATTTAACCTTCTTGAAGCACAGAGAGAAGCTGCAGCCGCAGAAGTAGAGGCTCGTATCCTGGAATACGACGACAGCCAAGCATTTAGCGATCTCCCTGATGAAACGGAAGACCCTCTCCAGCGTGTGAAAGATTTCGTCAATAAGCATCCTGTACCAACTGCTGTACGGGAAGTAACAGGACCTCAAAAGCAAATTCCTGTTAAGATTGAGCTGAGTCATGAAGCACCAGCGTTTGTGCCATCTGTGGCACTGAACTTGCCGTCACAGACATCTGCTGTCTTGCCTTCCGATACTAAGTCACCGGAAGTTACCTTAATCCCAGATCTGGGAATAGTAACCGGCATGCAAAAACTAGGCCTTTCAGATGAGATCCCTGCTGAACACCAAAAACAGGGTGTTAAAGAAAAGATCCCTGTTGCACACCAGCAACAAATCAACCCTACATCGGAGATAACTAGATTTCTTTTACGTAAGGACCTGCTTTTAACCCGACTAACAAGCTTTAACGATCGGGCAGAATCCTTTCATACATGGAAAGCAAGTTTTAACAACGTGACTGACGAGTTGCAAGTCTCTGACTCGGAACAGATTGATTTACTGATCAAGTGGCTCGGTCCAGAGTCTGCTAAACATGCCATTAGCATAAGAGCGTCGAACGCCAATAATCCTACAAAAGGTATACAAAGACTATGGAAGAGGCTTGACGAGCGGTATGGTGCTCCAGAAATGTTGGAGGCCTCACTCACGAGTAAACTTGCCAAATTCCCAACCTTGACGAATAAGGACAACGCACGTCTCTATGAACTGTCTGACATTCTATTAGAAATAGAATATCACAAGGAAAATCCCAAGCTGGGATGTTTGCTAGCTTATTTCGACTCTTCGTCCGGGATAAATCCTATTGTGGAAAAACTGCCATATGGACTCCAAGAAAAGTGGATTACAAGGGCGTCTAGATACAAATCTAACCACGGCGTTGCCTTTCCTCCTTTTACAGAGTTATCTGCATTCATCAGTGAAATCAGCAGAATTAAAAACGATCCTGGATTCATCTTTGGGTCAAAAGTCACACCAAATACAAAAGGTGCTGCGCCAAGGTTCACGTCTTACCCCAAGACTAAAGTTGGTACTCATAAAACAGCGGTTGAGCAGCAATCTGGAGACGCCAGCAAACAAGGTCTTTGTATTCTGCACAATACAAAGCATTCCTTAAATGAATGTCGAGCGTTCCGAGCCAAATCAATAGAGGAACGCAAAGGTCTTTTGAAAGAAAACAATGTCTGTTACACGTGTTGTGATTCTACCAAACACAGGAGCCGGGAATGCAATGCACGCATAAGTTGTAAAGAATGTGGAAGTAAACAACACACTACCGCACTTCACATAACTAGACCACAGCAACCTGCAAGTTCTCAGTCTAGCTCGCCCAAGGAAGCCTACGGCGGGGAGCCAACAGAATCCGCTGAAACTAAGTCAACCTCAGTGAACTCTACCTGTACTGAGATCTGCAAGGATACATATAGCGGGAAATCTTGTGCTAAAATACTACCTGTGAATGTTTATCACAAAGATAACCAGGACAAAGTTATCCGGATGTACGCCATCATGGACGACCAAAGCAACCGGTCACTAGCATCGCCTGAATTCTTCAACCTTTTCGACGTAAAAGACAAACCGGAGAACTATACCTTATCAACATGCTCCGGCAGAGTAGTCACTTCCGGGAAAAGAGGAAGAGGTTTCGTCATGGAATCAATAAATGGCAATGACAAATTTGACCTGCCTGTACTGATAGAATGTGATCATATTCCTAATAATAGGGACGAAATACCGACTCCTAAAGTCACAATGCTTCACCCTCATTTAAAAGAACTCAGAGGTAGCATTCCACCAATAGAGGAAAATTGCCAAATTCTTCTCTTAATTGGCAGAGACCTTATAGAGGCACACCACCCAGAACTCCATATGCACAACAGTTGAAACTAGGTTGGGTAGTGATAGGAGAAACTTGCATTAACAAGCAGCATGTGCCTCTTGAATTAAATGTCAAAATAACCAACATTTTACCTACAGGACAACCGTCAACGTTTCAACCATGTACAAGCAAATTCGACATTCGGGAAAACTACACAGACCCCGTTAAGAAAGATTTACAATCGCCTCTCTTTGAAAAAACTAGGGACGATGATAAACCCGGAATGTCATTTGAAGACAAAATGTTTATGAAACAGATGGACAACGAATTTGTCAGAGACTTGGAAGGAAGTTGGGTAGCACCGTTACCGTTCCGAGTGCCAAGACAGTCTTTGCCTAGCAACAGACCACAAGCTCTTCATCGTGCTAATATGTTAGACGCAAGCCTGAATAGAAACCTAGTAAAGCGGGAACACTTCCTCACATTTATGAGTAAGATCCTAGACAATAATCATGCAGAGCTCGCTCCACCGTTGGACGAACATGAAGAGTGCTGGTATTTACCACCCGAAGAAACCTGATCAGATTAGGGGTGTGTTTGATTCATCCGCCAAATGCAACGGAGTTTCACTCAACAGCGTCCTGCTAACAGGTCCAGACTTGACCAATGATCTCTTGGGAGTACTGCTGCGTTTCAGGAAAGAAATGGTCGCAGTAACTGCAGACGTTCAACACATGTTTCACTGCTTTGTAGTAAGAAAAGACCACCGAAATTATCTGAGATTTTTATGGCATAAAAACAACGACCTACAAGAGAACCTTGTCGAATTCCGCATGAGAGTTCATGTTTTTGGAAATAGTCCGTCACCTGCCGTTGCTACGCTTGGACTCAGAAAAGCAGCTCAGGCATCAGAACAAGAGTTCGGCAGTCACGTGACTAGCTTTGTTACAAGAGACTTCTATGTCGACGACGGTCTTACATCATGTCCTACAAAAGAGGAAGCTGTTAAGCTCATGAAGGACACACAGCAAGCATTGGCAAAGTATGGAAACTTACGGCTTCACAAGTTCGCCTCTAATTGTGCGGAAGTTATGTCTGCGTTTCATGCCAGTGATTTGGCTTCAAATCTGAAGGATCTAGACTTAGAATCCGACAGCAAACCCCTACAACGTAGTCTTGGGCTCAGCTGGGACGTAAACACTGACAACTTCTTATTTCAATTAACATCAGAAAACAAACCGATCACTCGGAGAGGAATTTTATCAACGATAAACAGTCTCTACGATCCTCTGGGATTTTTGGCTCCGGTGATTATACAAGGGAAACTCCTATTAAGGAAAATAGTATCAGAAACCGTCGATTGGGACCAACCTCTCTCTGATGAGACAGCAGCTGAGTGGAAATCTTGGAGAGATACTCTAATTGCTATCGAAACATTGCGCATTCCACGTACCTACGTGCCGTATCTCAGCAAAACCGCCACAAAGGAGTTACATGTCTTCTCTGATGCATCAGAAAAAGCCATAGCAGCTGTTGCATATCTACGCACGACCGACAGTAGTGGTGAACCAAACATAGGTTTCATTCTTGTGAAAGCTAAAGTTGCACCAACAAGTGGTCATACTATTCCACGACTTGAACTATCAGCTGCTGTATTAGCAGTTGAGATCACCCAAACCGTCATGGATAATTTAGATTTACATATAGACACCGTAAAATTCTACACAGACAGTAAAGTGGTTTTAGGTTACATCAGTAACGAGACAAGAAGGTTCTTCATCTACGTCGCCAATAGAGTAGAGAAAATAAGGAAATGTAGCTCTCCAAGTCAATGGAATTATGTACCAACTAACCGTAATCCCGCAGACTCGGGAACAAGGTCCGTACCAGCCCACGAAATTCATAGCAGTGAATGGTTATTGGGACCAAGACAACTTCTTTCCTCAGAACAGAAGAATTCTGAGGACATATATCAGCTGATAGATCCAGAGGAAGATGGAGAAATCCGTGCAACTGTTAATGTTGCAAAAACATTTGCCACACTTGAGCATAAAGGTATCGGAACTGATAGATTCAACCGATTCTCCAACTGGACATCACTTGTGCGAGCGATAGCCTTTTTGGAACGTTTCTCCCGTTTACACGGGTCAAAACAGGCATCATCAGTGACTTCTTTGGATAGTTTTTCGAATGCCGAAAATTTCATCTTAATATCTGCACAACATGAAGTTTATGGAGATGAAATAGATTGTATAAAACGTCAGGAACAAATTAATAAGCGGAGCCCGATAGCTAACCTCAATCCGTTTTTGGACGAAAGAGGACTATTACGAGTAGGAGGCCGTATTGTCAAATCTGACTTAAACTTCCGTGAAAAGAAACCATTGATCGTCCCTGGACGCCATCATATAGCGATATTATTAGTTCAACACTACCACGACAAGATAAAACATCAAGGTCGCCATTTCACAGATGGAGCGATTCGATCCGCAGGATTTTGGATCGTTGGAGCAAAACGCTTGATCTCTTCTATTATTCACAAATGTGTAACATGCCGCAAACTCAGAGGAAAAACAGAGTATCAAATCATGTCTGATTTGCCAGAGGACCGTCTTGAACCGTCACCTCCGTTTACTAACGTTGGAATAGACACCTTTGGCCCCTGGACAATTGTTTCACGTAAAACACGTGGTGGGTACGCCAACTCTAAACGTTGGGCAATTTTATTCACATGCTTAGTGACAAGAGCTATTCACATCGAATTAATCGAGGAAATGAGTTCTTCAGCCTTCATAAACGCCGTCAGGAGATTCGCCGCTATAAGAGGCCAAGTTAAGATTTTCCGATCTGACCGTGGAACGAACTTTATTGGCGCAATCGACGATTTAAAGATTGACTCAATCAACGTTGAAGATGGACCCTTCAAGAACTTTCTGTATAATTCTGGTACAACTTGGATCTTCAATCCGCCGCATTCGTCCCACATGGGTGGAGCCTGGGAGAGGATGATTGGTATTACCAGGAGAATTCTTGATTCTATGCTTCTAAACGCAGCCGGAAGAAGCCTAACACATGATGTGCTTAACACACTAATGGCAGAAGTTTCAGCAATAGTGAACTCTAGACCTCTGGTACCGGTATCAACAGATCCAGAGAATCCGTTAATATTAACTCCGGCTATGTTATTGACACAGAAAACCGACTACATTTTCACTTCAGATCATCTTGGAGAATTCGACAAACGAGATCTCTGTCTTGCCGAATGGAGGCGAGTACAGGCTCTGGCCAGTGTTTTCTGGTCCCGTTGGAGGAAAGAGTACCTGCCGTTACTACAACAACGACGAAAATGGACCGAAGATCGCCGTGATCTCATCGAAGGAGACGTCATTCTTCTAAAGGATAAAAACCTTTGCCGTACCCAATGGTCCGTTGGAATTATAGTGAATTCATTTAAAAGTTCAGACGAACATGTCCGAAAAGCAGAAGTGCGAGTAATCGTTAATGGAAAAGCCACAACCTACACACGTCCTATCGTGGACATGATTCTTCTCGTAGAGAACAACCCTATGTAATTATGTGTATATATATATATATATTTGATTTAGATAGGACATTCACATGTGTTATGTTTTATGGAATAGTGATATCAGATAGATTTCAGACGGGGAGTATTCTGTATCACGTTATCAATTGTATTTGCTACGGCATCTATTGGATTGAATTTTCAGACATTCATATTTTCCGGAAATGATCTGGACTTATCCGTATGTTCACTACCGTTTACTTTCTCTTCCTCGCCTGTCTATTACAAATGGATGCCACGACAAAACTGCTCCTGTGGATATTGTGACAAATCACCGTCAAGTACGTTTCAAATCGATTATAAACTGTTAAATATAAATTCCGTTAAATTGACAAACACGTTGATTCAACAAATATGAACTGTAATTGTTTATTTCTATGAATTGAACTGAGAATTCTACTTTCGTTTTTGACTTGATATTAATATTGTCTTGAACGTTCAAATATTTCTTTCGTGCATATTGTAAAATATTGTATTTTTATTTCTTTCAGTTTACCAAACAATACACACTCTGTAAAAACTCCTGTATCCCTTCTGGTGGAATTATAATCTACAATCTTCACACACAAATTGTTATTCTTTATAATTTGCCGAGATTGCGATACAATCACATGGTTATACTAGCTGAGTCAGGCTCAGCATAGTAAGACTTTTAGTTTTTAGGGACAATATCAAAAGACCGATATGTAGGATATAGCAAAAATCGTAATTCACATAGTTAAGTGTGCGGCTGCTGTTTTTTTTTTTTGTTATTGAGTTTCTGCTTGTAGGAAAAACGTATTATACCTGTCAATTATGTTTTTTTTCAAATTAAGTTAAGAGGGGCTGATTATCATTGATACAACTATATGAATTCAGTTTTTATAACACATATTAATTAAAAATTGATGTAATTCCTAACTGGGATAGAAATGTACACTCAGGGTACACTCTGGAAAGCTGTTCTTAAGACCTCATTGCTACATTTTTGTGCTGTTTTAATATGTATACCGGGTGATTAATGTAGGATCTGCCTGTTCTGGTCTTGTATTGTGTTTAGACTTTGGTGTGATTTTTTTGTGACTTTGAAATTTATTCACAGCTACTTTAAGTACCGCTTAAGTCGACGCTAGGGGCCGTCTTGACATTGTTTTAAGGTATGAATGATTCGTTCATTGTTGAAGACCCTACAGCGACTGTCAAGACGAAGAACAGGAATAAAAGCCCTGTTCATTGATAATTTGTATTTTTTCCATGCACATTTACTCCATATCCCTTTATTTTCTATTAAATGGCCTGAACACGGCTTAATGTAAGTTTACGCCCTTCAATGTAAAAGGTCATATGGCAATACATTATTTTTCTTTTTAAATGATTTGATTCCGGGAGATTGGTTGTCTCACTTTAATTTAACCCATGTCATCTTTTTAGTTTAACAGAAAAGAGAGCCATTTTTGTATTCTTTAATATAAAGTATAATTTTCCATGAAAAAACTACCAATTTTTCTATGTCCCGGTAGCTTCGTATCTTCTTAAAACATTTTCTCGAACAATATCTGGACATCGGTGGACATGTAACATTGCCAAACCACACAACCGTTCACCCGTCATTACCGACCACTTCGACTATGCTATTTCGATATTTTTTTTTTTTTTATTATCAATGTTTCATAGACTAACCGATACATATTTTTACAACTTAAAGTATAGTTTTTAAAATTAGACGAAAGGTCCTTAAATATAATAAAACTCAAGCTTAAAACAAAATTACTAATTTACAAATGAAATTCAACGCTAAGACAATAGTCCTGAAGAAGGGCAATCAATGAACAAAAGGCAAACCCGTGAAAAGATAAGACACATAACAACAAATTATAGACAATCAACACTGAAAACTAAAAATAAATGAGGAACATGGATCCCGAAAAAACAGGGGCGACGTCAGAGGGTGAACAGAACTTGCTTCTTGCAAGACACTCGCCGTGAAAACAATTTGATATGAAGACACGCTTTTGTTTCAACTTATTATTTTTTTTTTAATTTTCCAACATGAGGCATTTGCCTCATTTGCCTCAATGTAGTTACGACCCTGTAAAATGAATAACGCTGGCATTAGTTTTGTATCAAATCCCTATATACACCGTTATTGTGGTGCGCCTGACATAGGCGGAACTTGCAGATAATGTAGGTAGGGGACCTGGAAAGATAACGTTGGTTTCTTTCCCTCCACCTATATTATCCCTGTAAAGAAAAAGTAATTAGTAAATGAGAAGACAATGATTTATATTATATTTTATAAACTGGAGTGAATGATATATGGGTAGACTTGGTGATGTTTATAACGTGAAAACCAAACAAGATAGTATTCACTCGTACAGACTTATATTTGCTATTTTGAGACCGTAATTTACATGTTGCATGAACTGTTGTGTTGTGATTGCAAAATTATGAGATCAAATGACGTATGAATTTCAACAGAGATATATATATTTTGCCGGCTCCGATTAAAATATCTTAATTCATGAATATAGTACATGATATAGTTTATATTTCAAAAGCAAGTTTAATTTATTTATTTTTTAATTTTTGACATGTTTGAAGCTATATGTGAATGACTTTGTTGTATAGTATAATGTTTTATCAAATTCATGATGCATCGCAAAGAGTTTTTTTTTAACTTTTATTTTTTTTACAATATACATGTACCTGACATACATCAGTCAGGGATATAACTCTACAGGGTTATAATTTATTACAGAAAAATAACATACATTTGTTATTGTGGACTAAAAAATCAAAGAACTGTGATAACATATGTATGTTACATGTTTCAAAGGGACAATATACATCATTAGTTTACATGTAGTTAAAATGTATACAAGTTCTATTGATATTACTATTGTCTTTATGTATACTTAACTGTAGAAAGATATAACAGTTCATAGTTTGCCAATCTTGCATAGTACACCTACATGTATGTTATTACAGAAAAAATATGCCTGTAATAACTAAAGGGTGTTATCACAGCTTCTCTACTTCACTCCAAAGCATTTGCTCAGACATAAATCATGCTTAATTACAATGTATTTTAATTTATTGTAAGAAATAATGACCAGAGCATGTAATGAGGTTCTGCGCAAGCTTCCCAGTAATTCCCAAGTGTCTCATATAATAAGTTACATTCCTTTAAAAACTAAGCCTTGTTATTACAGCTTAGTTTATCCCTTAAAAGCCTCGTCTCATTGATTTACCATGGTTAATCAAAAATGTATTTATTTAATTAAAAAATTAGTTATCAAGGCTATGCATTTAGTTTCTGCGCAATGTCTCTAGAGTTCCCTAGAGCCCACTATAAATTAAAATAATTTTGATTTATTTTACAAATAACAAACATATGTTATTACAGATTTAGAAACTTTAAGGAATAAAGAGTAGACAACTCATGAAAGTATCTGTAATAACACACGCAAGTTATTTTCTGTAATAACCCTATAGAGTTATATCTCTGACTGTACATCATGTACATGTACAGTTTAAAATTATGAGATTATATTCTTTAATTATCATGATTATGCATTAGACTGACTGATTTTAGAAATAATTTCAGCTAGTAAATGTTTAGAATTTCATTCAACAAATGGATTCTCAATATTTTTATTTTGTTTATTTCTTGTAATAAATTCTTACTTAAGTTATTTACACTTTGACTAATAAAAGTTTTAAAACGATCGATCGTATGTGTTTCAAATACTGTTAGCCGTTTTCCTATATTTAACTATAAGTCTGGTATATATTAGTAATTCTTTTATTCTTTTATGTTGACAGTGCACATTATCATAGTATTTTTCAAAGGCAAACATCAAATTTCACTCTTTACAAAGAACCGGCCAAATAACAAATTCACTACTTCATGTATTTAGTATATAAAATGCTGGTGATGGCAAACTAGTCATTTCTATAGAAATAGGCTATTGGCTTGAACATGTTTACATGTTCACACGAAATTCGAATTCGATTTGCATTAACTAATTGAATTAGTTTAATTCGCATTCAAAATGTTTTACGTCCGAACGTTAATTCTAATTCGAATTGCAATCAAATTCACTTTACTGTCCGAACGACGTTAACTTTTAGTTCGTATTAACAAAAACGCATTTTTAATGTGAATTAGCCAATTCGAATCAATTCGAATTAAAAAAGAAGAGTGTGTGAACGTGATTAGCGAATTCGATTCCCATTTGATTCAAGTTCAACTCGAATTAAAAGTACGTGTGAACGAGGCATAAGATATTTTTATCAGATCAGGCAAAATAAATATCAGTTTAAAAGGAATAATTACTCATCAGGTTTATATTACACACACAAAAATAACAAAAATGCTTAAGACACAAATTAAGGCACATAAAGAGTTAGTAAAGTTAGTTAAAAACCAATATTGTAAACTCAGAAATTATTGGATGCATTTATCATGTTTATTATTGAGATTTTTAAGAATTAACTAAAATTGAAAGTTAAATAAGTTAATATTTTAGGAAAAGCCACATTCAGATGTATTTCATGTATTTAATAATTTTTTGATATCAGAATGCTTCTTAATTATCATGATTATAATGATTTTTATTCAAGTAGTAGCATTATTCACATTGATAAAAACCTTGCAATAATTTCTGAATTTACAGTAACTACTTTTAAAGAATGTCATTTATCTATTATAGACTAAAAAAATATCAGCACACATGTATGCAACATCCAATGGATTTAGTGTAAAGAAAACATGAACATGACCATGTGTAATGTCAAAATAATGAAAATTGCAAAATGTACCACACTGATAAATTATATAAGGCCAAAAAAAAATATATGTCTGTTTAAGGTTACATACTTTAAAAATATAGGGTAGGTAGTCGGTATTTCCATTTTATTTTATTTTTTCATTTTATTTTTTGTGACATGATTTTGAGTCATGCCGTTTTGTCTTGTCGTGGTCCGAGTTGATCATGGGCCGAGTTACCCATATTTTTAATGATTAGAATATTTCCCTTGGTAATTGGTTGGAAAAAAATGGTGGCAAAGTGTTTATTTCATCACACGAGTTGCGAATTTCCTTAAAACAGCTGTCACATTCACGATTGTGAACATTGGGATGTATCAGGCAATTGATTTAAATTATTTGCAACACTAACTTCGCTTTTGACACGAGTTCAGTTAATTAAAATGACTTAGGGTCGGTGCTCAAAAGAGGGACGAAAGATACCAGAGGGACAGTCAAACTCATAGATCGAAAACAAACTGACAACGCCATGGCCAAAAATAAAAAGACAAACAGACAAATAATCGTACATATGACACAACATAGAAAACTAAAGACTAAGCAACACAAACCCCACCAAAAACGGGGGGTGATCTCAGGTGCTCTGGAAGGGTAAGCAGATCCTGCTCCACAAGTGGCACCCGTCGTGTTGCTTATGTTATTACAAATCCGGTAGATAGTCCAATTCGGTAGGTCACATTCGTGAAAAGGGAAGGGTATTGTAGTTACGACATAAGGAACATATCCGATATCATCTGTGAAAAGGTTATTCTATAATGGTCAACCAACTCGTGATGGTGTCCGTAAAATTTACGAAGGGATGCATTAAAGTAGGGTCGGTCGGGTAACCGTAAACAGACATATATTTTTTTTTGGCCTAATAGTTATTTTGTACACTGAAAAAAGGAATATTAAAATCAAGGATAGTTTTAATCAACAATGATCAAGTACAAATGTATACAAATCCTTGTTTTAATTAATTCTTTAAGAAAATATTCATTTAGGTTACAGATTAAAAGTTTAAATTCTAAGAGCAATCATACATTTGAAAAAAAATATTTGTAAAACTGTGTTATAAGCATTATACATGTTATAAGATATGCAAAAACATGTTTTAAGTTCATTTAATATTTACATACATATTTGCATTAGAAGCTTGTGAAGCTGAAATTTAAAAAAAAAAAAGTTGATCTTTGCTGCATATTGCATGTATTGATAAAGAAATTGGAAAATTCATATACATCATTAATATTGTACATACCCGTATGAAATTATAAGGCGTATTACGCCTGGAAATAAGGCGTAAACCAGGCGTAAGTGGTACTTACGTGTCTAGATCCAAGCGTAAGGGAGCAGGAAACGTAAATTTGAAGTCCTTACGAGCGTAGAAAAAAAATGGTAAACCTGGCGTAAATTGAAATAAGCAAGGCGTAAATTTTCTTACGGGCGTAAAACTGTTGGTATGGCGTAAATCATAATACCCATAATGCTTTGTTTAAAGGATCAAGGGAATTTTTTTCAAAATTTGGCTCTTTGGTTTTAGTTTGCAAGAGTTGGACTTATGGCAGCTTCATATGTTCAGGGATAATTAGCTTGTTTTGTGCTTTTTGAAAGAATTTGAAATTGGAAATGTGGAATCAAATTGATTAATAAAAATTGTGAAAAAATGGAAAGTAAAACATGGTAAATAATAATTATGTGAGTATAACCTAAGTTATTAAGTTTTAAGTTCTAATAAACAGTAATTTTGAAATCCCAAAACCTGTAACCTTGGATAATAACATTAAAATCTTTTACATGAAGTTAAATTGCAGTATTATCATTATATTTTAAAGGACATTAATTTATAAAAAACTTAGTTAATTAAAATGCTTAAGTTTTATTTCAAGAAAAATTAATTGTCATAATTCTTATTTAAACTTTAAACTTATTTGAGCCAGTGGCAGTGTCTGTCTAAAATGTATTTATTTATATATTAGCTTCTTCAATGGTTAATATTTCCAGTTTTATGTTAAACAATGAGAAATTAAAGCAACAGTACAGAAGTTTGTATTAAATACACAAAAGAACACAGCTAGGGTAATACACTGATTTGAAATAAGTGTACATTTTGTAGTATTATGTAAGGATATTACGCCTGGTTTATTTATTGACCAGGCGTACTCATTTGCATATTACACGTGGTTTTCTCTGGACCAGGCGTACTCATTTAAATATTACGCCTAATTTTACGCCTGGTTTCCGCCTCAGTTACGCTTGGTTTCCGCCTGGTTTACGCCTGGTTGACGCCTGGACATGCATTCCTTAAACACTGCAATGACGCCCGGATAAAGTATGATTTTTACGCCTGGTTTCCGTGTCATATACGGGCGTCACAGTTCGTACAGGTATACATGGTATACATACATAACATACAAACAAAATGTAAAGATTTGTCAGGTAAAACATTGTAGAGTGTGACGTGTTTCACATTGTCGTTAGCCATGTTAGCATGTTACAATTTTCCATAATTTATCTATTTTTTTTGCATTAATTATTTAATCTTTGCTGCATATCAATCGAGTCCATTTGAATTTTTCTCTTGAACTTCTCTAATCCTGCTAAATACATGTAGGGACAATTGGCGTGTTCCAGAGAGGTATATACATAATAAAGAGGTTTTACTTTATATATATATATATATATATATATTTAAAAAGAAGATGTGGTATGTGTGGCAGTGAGACAACTATCCATCTAAGTTACAAAGTTAACTTGTTTCTAAACACTTTTGCATATTGAAGCAAATAGAAGATGTTTAAACTATAATATGTATAATACATTTAAATAACTTTTACAAAATGATTTGGATGTGTTTAGGAAGCTGCCATTTTATGTGGATGTGTTTAACCATAGTTGCCAAGAACACTTTTCATGCCCCTGCAACTGAAAGTTAGGAGGAATACTGTTTTACCACTGTTGTTGGTTCGTACACCCAATTATGGGTTCTTATGTATAGATATTCCACATGACTCCTCTTACAGTTTGATTGCAACCTAGGTCAATCTTGGTTTAGTAACTGAATTTATTGTTCAATCATATTTTTTATAAAGTTGCATATCTATAATCCAAGCAAATCAGTTTGACAACTATCTTGAGGTCTTATCCCTAAATATGGGTAAGAAACTTCACATTAATAAGCAATGTTGTTGTCCATCAGATTGTCTCTTAATTTTTTTATGCAGACAGGCGAGACATATCTCTGAGTCAACAGTTTATTTACTACAAAATGTATAATAAGAATATGTGACATGCGTGCCAATGAGAAAACTCTCCATCCAAGTTACAATGCATGAAAAGTTATAGGTCAAAGTACAGCCTTCATTTAACACGGAGCCTGTGAATAATGTTGACATTTACCAACATTCCTTTCCTTGTGAATAAAGAAGATGTGAGGATTACATCAATGAGGCAGTGCAGCATACAGTCAAACCTGTTTTAAGAGACCACTTAATGGAGAGCAAAAAAGTGGTCTCTTATTACAGGTGGTCTTTACATTTTAAAACAGATTCAATTTATATGAAATATACTACAAAGGGATCTAAAATTGATGGTCTTTTGAAACAGGTTTTTGCTTAATACAGGTGGTCTCTTAAGCAGGTTTGACTGTATATATATACTTCTTGTACATGTTGTATTATTAAATATATAGTATGGGATTAGAATTACCCAAACATACAGATGCATAAATGCAGAGAATGTCTAAATTGCAGAAAGGTATCAAAAGGTTTATATGTCTTTATTTTTTTTGTGTTCCTTACAGAGTCGTTCAAGAACGCACATACTGGTCAGTGGAGATAAACATTATCAATAAGATGTTAGAGGGAGGAGAGGATTTAGTCACACTCAACGGTACTCTACAGAGACACATAAACATACAGGCTGGTACAACACATCATAAATGTGATGTCTGTGCTAGAGAATTTAGTCAAAGAGGTCACTTAAAGAGACACTTGAAAACACATACTGGTGAAAAACCTCATGAGTGTGATGTTTGTTTTAGAAAATTTTCTCGCAGTGATGACTTAAAGAGACATACGAGAACACATACTGGTGAAAAGCCTCATAAATGTGATGTTTGTGCTAGTGAATTTTCTCAAGGTAGTCAACTAAAAGCACACATGAGTACACATACTGGAGATAAACTTCATGGCTGTGATTTATGTGGTAAAGGGTTTAGTTATCTTAGTAGTTTACAGAGTCACATGAGAATACATACAGGCGTTAAACCCCATGAGTGTGATGTATGTAGTCAACGGTTTAGTCGGCGTTGGAATTTACAGATACACATGAGAACACATACAGGTGATAAACCTCATAACTGTGATGTTTGTGATAAACGCTTTAGTCAGCATGGTTCTTTACGGATTCACATGAGAACACATACAGGGAATAAACCTTATGACTGTGGTGTATGTGGTACAGGGTTTAGTCGGCATTGGAATTTACAGACTCACATGAGAACACATACAGGAGATAAACCTTATGACTGTGATGTATGTGGTAAAGGGTTTAGTGAGCAAGGTAGTTTACAGAGACACATGAGAATACATACAGGGGATGAATATGATAAACCTCATGACTGTGATTTATGTGGTAAAGGGTTTAGTCAGCTTGGTAGTTTACAGATTCACATGAGAACACATACAGGTGATAAACCATATGACTGTGATGTATGTGGTAAAAGGTTTAGTGAGCAGGGTAATTTACAGACTCACATGAGAACACATACAGGTGATAAACTGTATGACTGTGGTGAATGTGGTAAGGGGTTTAGTCATATTAGGAATTTACGGGATCACATGAGAATACATACAGGTGATAAACCTTATATATGTGATGTATGTTGTAAAGGGTTTAGTCAGCATAGTAATTTACAGACTCACATGAGAACACACACAGGTGATAAACTGTATGACTGTGGTGAATGTGGTAAGGGGTTTCGTCGTATTAGTAATTTATGGGATCACATGAGAACACATACAGGTGATTAACCTTATATATGTGATTTATGTTGTAAATGGTTTATTCAGCATAGTAATTTGCAGATTCACATGAGAACACACACAGGTGATAAACCTCATAACTGTGATGCATGTGGTAAAGATTTTAGATTGCTTGGTCATTTAAGAAGACACATGAGAACACATACCGGTGACAAACCTCATGACTGTGATGTATGTGGTAAACGGTTTAGTCAATATGGTAATTTAAAGAGACACATGAATACACATACAGGGGATAAACCTATCGACTGTGATGTATGTGGTAAAGGGTTTAGTCTGCATGCTTCTTTACAGAGACACATGAAAATACATGCATAGTAGTTTACAGATTCACATAAGAATAGATACAGGTGATAAACCTCATGACTGAGATGTATGTGGTAAACGGTTTACTAAGCTTGTTAGTTTACAAATTCACATGAGAACACATACAGGTGATAAACCACATGACTGTGATGTGTGTGGTAAAGGGTTTCGTCATCTTGGTAGTTTACAGAGTCATATGAGAACACATACAGGCGATAAACCTCATTACTGTGATGTATGTGGTATATGGTTTAGTCAGCTTGGTAATTTACAGAAACACATGAGAACACATACAGATGATAAGCTGCATGATTGTCGTGTTCGCGGTAATGTCAGTTAAAGAATAAACATGGTAAAGGGATCAAGTCAAGTTTGTAATTTACATCATCAGGGGTACTATTTTAACAAGTAATTTCATTATCACCTATTCCAGTGATTTTTTAAAAATAGGTATCACCTATTTAAGTGATTTTGGTGTTTCCTTTGATCTTTAAAAGCTAATTTTATTGATTTTTCATATTTTGATAAACTTTTCTATTATTTTCCTTCTTAAATCAATTGCGCTAAAGCTTTTAAAAGTACCCTTGGGAATTTTTCTGTAATCAAATATTCATTAACTACTCTAACTATCAGACAAAGGTCAACAATATTAGGTAACCTGATTGGTTTTTTAGAGTTTAAATGATCTACTTTAAGGTTATGTCCTGATCTATAAATTATTCCAGTTTTTGCATGTTTTAAATAAACTGTAAAAACTGACAGGCTTATCAAGCAAAAGACAATTTCTGCATGTACATAGTTGTTTTTTCAATGGAATACATATCTTTTTACCAATAAAAAAATCAAACTTGTGGGAAAATCATCAAGAAAATGTTAAAAACACTTATTGAAGTGATTACATTTAAACTTCTCAAATTACTTGTTTCAGTGATTTTAAAAAGTCTGTGTCTATTTTTCTGAAATTTTTTAGTATTTCACAGCCAAAATTCACTCAAAGAAGTGATTTTGAAATCACTTGTTTAAGTAGTATGGTAACCCCTGACTGTCTCTACATAGAAATGTGAAAATTTGTATATATTATTTACCTGATGCATTATAATTCTTTGATTGTGGATCATTTCCAGCCCAAGTTGTGTCATGTAGTTGATTAATAATACATATGGGAGAAGATTAATAATACATATGGGAGAAGATTAATAATACATATGGTAGAAGACTTTATAAGTTGGCAATCTGATTAATAATACATATGGGAGAAGATTATATAAGTTGGCAATCTGATTAATAATACATATGGGAGAAGACTTTATAAGTTGGCAATCTGATTAATAATACATATGGGAGAAGACTTTATAAGTTGGCAATCTGATTAAAATTCAGATCTACCTTAACTCACGCATATGTAAGAACTGAGATGCACAGTATACATGGTACAGAGGTTTTACTTTATCAGGGGTTAAAAAATTTTGTTACAGCTCACTAGCTCAGGACTTATTGGTAGCAGGATTTTACTAGCCCTGTTGAAAGAGCTGCTAGCCCATCAAAACTGACCTGCTAGCCCGAGTATACCTTACAAATTCAGAGTGGGTGTCCCTTGTTTTGAATGCGGCATTATACACGGTATTTGATAAAATAAATCAAATAAATTTTTGTTTTATTAATTATAACAAGGATCTCTAGACATCTTTTTGGATTTCCCTTGTACTATGGGTTGTTAAATATTTTCGGGCACAGAAAACATGTTCATTGGTCTTGTCATGTGAAACCAGTGGTTCAATTCGTATATTTGTTGTTCCCACATACAAAGCAGACTTTATTAGCGTGATCAGGGAAATAACGGCAATATTCACAAAACATCATCTCTTGTTTATCATCAGTAACAGTCGACCTTGTCCATGGGGAATCTTTCTGTCCATGACACTATAAATGTTTTTTTTTCCGCTTTTCCTGGTCGTATTTGGCATTTTTTGGGATAAATTTTCAGCCTCATTACCCCCTTCATCTACCGATTTTCGTTTTGAAACTGACAAAGTTCCTGTGGTGGCCGTACTAAAATGTTTAGAAATAATTTGTGCATGGTTTCAAGCTCAAATTAACAGCTGTCCGACAAGACAGATCAATATCGATCATTAGGGGACGACCATTTGATATTCTGGCGGGGGCCAGGAGGATTTGTTTTGAATCGGTTATTCATTTTTGTAAACTAAGAGGACAGATTATTTATTTTCTGCACTGTTGAAGCAAGATTTTTCATTTTCATTAAAACAAGGGACTGATTATTTATTTTCATAACTATATTAATAATATTTGAAAACATGCAATTTTTAAATTCATTTTTTATTATAAATAATACATGTACAGTCAAGTCATTAATGTACCATTTAATCAGAATTAATCATCATCCTCTGTGGAAATGAATCTTCTGAATATTCCCAACTGCATATACATGTATTGCATACATACATGGTATTAGAGTTGGGCTGTGACTAGCCTCTATTAAAAGTATTGCCAAATATATTTATGCCGAGCGGAGCGAGGCAAAAAAATTTTGAAGGGTTTTGAAGCCGCTGAAGGCCCAAAGAAACTATAGAACAAATGATGCAAAATCGTGCTTTCTGGGCGTTCCCAGACCCTTTCTTATTCTGAAAATGCAAGTTCTGTTTTAATAATTTTTTGACAATATTTTGGTCTCAAAGCAAAATGTATAGATTCAGCGTAAGACTTAAGTTTTTACAACATTAAAAGACCAATATGAAGAATAAAGTAAAAATGTAATTCACATAGTTAAGTATGTGGCTGCTGTTTTTTTTTTTTTTTTTTTTTTTTTGTTGTTTCAGCATGCAGAACTTAAATCTTTTATACCTGTAAATTATATGGGGTTTTATTAAAATTAAGTTAAGAGGGGGCTGATTATCAGTGATGTAACTATGTCAAGTAATTTTTAATAACACATTTCAATTACAACTTGATGTAGCTCTTAACTGGGATACAATTTAAAGTAGTAATAAGTTGTAAAATTAGCTAAAAAGTCTTAAATAAAATAAAACTCATGATCAAGTTGAAAACAAAATTACTGAATCACAAAAGGAATGCAACACTAAGAGAATACAGAAGGGCAATTAATGAACAAAAGACAAATTTAAAGAAACATTGATCCCGAAAAAACAGGTGGGGAGAACTTGCTTCTTGCAAACACTCGCTGTGAAAACAATTTGATATGAAGACAAGCTTTTGGTTTTAAAATTTCCTACATAAAGGCATTTGCCTCAATGTAGTTACAGCCCTGTAATAAAAGTGAGGTAAGTGTTCCTGGGCCAATATAACTCAAGTTAAATGAAACCCATTTTCAGACATTTCAAGTATATCTAAATAATATTTATACCTTTATTATTAAAAGATTTGGGAAGTGTTTCCCGAATTTTTTTTTGAAATAAAGATGAATTTTATGAAGAATCTGGTGCCACTTCATACTTTCAAATAGCATTGATAAAATGGCTTAAAGACCTGCCGAGTTATTTATTTTCAATACATTGTAAGTCAGATTATTTATTTTCGAACTACCACAGAACAAACCATTTATTTTTGTGATTATCAAGGCTGAGTTATTTATTTTCAAAATCCTCCTGCCCCCCCCCCCCCCCCCCCCCCCCCCAGAATATCAAATGGTCGTCCCCTTACATCATACACCCAAGAACAATTAATTGAAAATCTCGGCATAAGCAATGTACAATACCCCCTGTACTGAGAAATTGATATTGAAAGTACGTGAATTGCGATCAATACACGATACCGGTACAACCAGAGTTAGTTGTTCTATTTTTAAAACATGTATAAAATCGGTTCAAATTCTTGGAATCCCGGATGACGTAATTGAATCTGATTGGCTAAGATAGAATAGTGATGAGGGGATTTTCCACTTACTATTTTGGAAATGCCAAGAATTTGTTGTTACTAGTCCGTCGGGCATATTCGGTTACAAGTTTTTATTGCCCGAAGTGTAAAAGTCTAGTCCCGGGCGTCGGGCTAGTGGATATTTTAACCCCTGCTTTATATAATACCAGTAAATACGAAGATATGGTATGAGCGACAATGAGACAACTCTTCATCCAAGTCACAGTGTATAAAAAGTAGGCATTAGAAATTACATACATGTATGTTGTGCATGGAGTTATTCTTCATATAAGTTCAGTATGCACAAAGAAAGATAACTCTAATTCAAAAGTGTTCCCATTACAAACTGATGCAGTAGGGTGACCAGTCAACGAATTTTATCGATTTGGCATAAAAGAATAACACACGGCTGTATTCATGGCATTTGATATTATTAGAAAGAGATCTAGAAGAACAAGCCTCATCGAAATAATGATGTCGTCGTTGTGTACAGTGGTCAAATTTGGGTCAAAGGTCAGAGCTAAAATTTCAAGGAAAACGCATATATATATATATAGTCACGTTTAGACAACTGGTTGCCCCTACCTACATGTGTGTGCGTTTATATCAAAATGAATTCAAATATTGAAAAGGATTATACTTATAGTCTCTATATTTAGGACACATTATTATGTTAGTAAATATGGTTGAAGATTGACATTTGTACTTTTAGGGTGCACATTGACAATTATCATTCATCTGAAAAATCATCGCAGTGATCTTGACCTATTGAAATGCCCAAAATTTGGATTTTTTTCTTAATATCCGATATAGGTGATTTCCATAGATGCTTTTTTTTTTTTTTTAGATATTAACATTTATGAGTTGCTCTTCCAAAATATATTTTTTTCTGTCTATTGATCATGTTGATAGAAGCTGTTCGCATTGATTGTCTGAGGAAAAATCTAGTTTTCTTTTGGTGCGTGTGGAAGCACATACAATT